ATTACCCAAATCAGGAATACAAGTGCTGGGGGCTGCAGAGGTGGCCACTGAGGAAGATTGTGGGAATATGACAAAAACCTTACTCAGTAATTGTTAAAATCTGGAGCAAGTTGACAAATCCCTTAAAAGAAATACAAATCATTAAAGTCATTTGAGAAATGTAACCTAATTTGCCCTTTCTGAATTCACAGATTTCCCATCCTACCACACACTCCCAGAAGGAAGAGGCACCAATTTTGCACAGGCTTCAAGAGAGCTGAACAAGAGGAAGCATTTACAAACTATACTTAGAGATCACACTTGATAGCATGGAGATATAGAACAAGAAACTCCACAGATTAAGATCTTAACACAGATGGGGAAAGTTGTAGAGAAAATGTCGACAAATCAAAGCCAGAAACACATAAGGAAGAGGATGCAACAGGTGTACAAAGTCCCAGGAACCAGTGTTTTTACAAGCCAACATAAAGCATGCAATTCCTCAGGTAGTGATAAACACAGGAACCAGGACCGTCCCTATAGATACGTAAGGTGGTGGTGGTGGGGGACGGGACAAGAAAACACAACTGGCATTTCAGATTTTAAAAAAGTCAGAGACAACTAGGAATAAAGGGAAACTTGTTCAGTTCAACAAAAAGCCCTACAGAAACCCCACTGCTAATATGATCCTAATGATGAAAGAATGCAGAACGCCTCCCCAGAAAGAACAAGACAAGAATGCTGCTCTTGCAGTTTCTTCTGACATTATACTGGAGGCTCTAGCCAGTAAAATGAAAATAAGAGGCCTCCCGATGGAAAATAAATCAAGCTGCATTCATGTACAAACAGGATCGTTTATGTGCAAAGTCCAGTGGAAATTTCAAAACTGTACTAAAAAGTACAGCTTATTCCATTTTCAGAACAATAAATCAATACAGAAACGTAATCTGTATTTGCTGTTAATAATAAAAACAATTATTAGTTAATATTTGAAAATCAACATGAATTTTTCTATCAAAAGTAGCATCTACTTAGGGACATATCTGAAGAAATATATGAAACACACACAAAAAAAGGAAAAAGATAGGAAACATTTGAACATTGAAAAGTCACACATTTCTGAAGGAAAATTTAACAAGATGTATCAATGGAGAGACGAACTATATTCACAAATCAGAGGTTTCTACATTGTAGGTAATTGTTCTTACCAGATTCACAGTATAGTTTTAACAAGCAATGTCTGTGGTAAAACCAGAGAGAGAATTCTAGAAATTTGTATTAAAAAGTACAGGGCCTAAAGTAGCCAAAGTCACCTTGAAAAAGATCATCACAGTTTGTTGGACACTATATTCACAGACTGCCATGAAGCTACAGGACCATGTATAGTTTGGGTGTCAAGGCAGACATGTGGAAAATGGAACAGAATAGAAAGTCTAGAAAGATTCCCACCCAGCTATATATGGAAAAGTGAGTTCCCTAAAAATTTGATAAGGTAATTTAGTGGAGTAAAGGCTAGTCTTCTCAGCAAGTGTCGAGATCCTACAGGCAAAAGAAAAGGCTTTGATCTATACTTCTCATCATACATAAAAGTCAACTCAAAATGTATTTAAATACTATCAGGGAGTCTGTGGGACCTTGGTTAAGTAGTTTTATTAAATTTGTTTAGGCCTACTGGACAGGCAGCTGGCAAACAAAACAAGGGATCAAGATTAGTTGCCCTTCTCTGTCACATGTGTTTCCCCAAGAACAATGTCTTTGTAAAGTTAGGGAAAACATATTCACACAAAGACTGTATAGGCAATATATTGGATTTGATGGTGAATCTGCTTGGGCTTCTGAGGATGGTTGTTTTCAAGTTTGGATGCAGGCCTTACAAAATAAAGAATAACTACATCCATATACTTTGCTATCCATGACACAGTCCAAGCCTTACAAAGCAAGGGCTTAATGAACACTTGCTCATATCTCTCTCTCTCTCTCTCTCTCTCTCTCTCTCTCTTTCTCTCTCTC